GAGTAATCGTCGTATTTCTCCTTTTGAATTATTCTTTTTAAAATTAAATTGAATTAGTTAACCTAATATTTTCAAAATTAAAAATTTGTATATTCAAAAGTTATACTAGAAATACTATAGATCAGAATAAATTTTTACGGTCCATATAATAAAAATCATATTTTCAAATATTGATTAAAATTAATATAATTTAACCCTCTACAAATAAAATATGACAATTAATTTGGGATGAGGATTTAATTCTACCAAAGAATGTGGTGCAGTAAATGATGTTGCTTCTCTCTCAATCAGAGGCTTCGAATTCGAGCCTTTGATATAAAAAAAATTGTTGGTAGGAAGTGTTATATCCGTAATGAGGTTTTGCCCGACGCAAATCCAAATTAGCCAGGCTCCAATAATAGTACCGAACACTATATGAGAAAAAAAAAAGTCTTTAATAGAAACTTTTCTTAGAATTCTCTTTTTATTATTGATTTATTTTTTTATCACCCATCGAAGTTACTTGTAGATATTAAGTGAAAGAATCTCTAAACTTGTAGATAATAAGGGTATGTTCTGTATGAAGTAAAATACTTTTCATAAGATATTTTTTTTAAAAAAAATTATATTAGTTGATCAAAAATTTTAAAAAATATTTTTTGTAGAAAAATAAGTTCTTAAAATTTAGAAAAAAAGACGTCTCTAATAAAAATAGGAAAAATAAATTTCATTAATAACATTCCATATTGATTGTGTCTTTTCCGCTGTCCAACACACCTTATCTTAATTTCATCCCTAATTGTCTCATTCCTATCAACACACACGGTCACACTCATATCTCCCCCACCCCATCAATCATAATGTTTCTCATATATAAATTCTTTTAAGATAATATTTTTTGTCAACCTATCAAATATATATAAGAAAATAAGTAAGAAAGTTGACATTAACCCTTTCACTTTTCCCTTTTCAGATAATTGTTTTTGTTTTCTCTTTTAATTTGCTTTTGTTTATTGTCTGGTCTTGTGGGTCGGGTACATCAATATCTGGTCTTTTATTATTTGGTTTTGATAAATTTCTGGCCCTCTTGGGCCTTTTGGTTTAAAAAAAGGATTAATTACTTGAGTGGATCTCTTTTAAAAAATAATTACATATTTTAAATATACTCTTTAATTATTACCATTTATAACAATATATAATAATACTATGTATTTTATTAAATTGTCTCTCTCGCTCTTTTTTTTCTCTCTTTCGCTCTTTTTTTTTTCTCTCTCTGGCACACTCTTTCTTCCTTTCTTTCTCTCTACACACTTTTTATGAGCTCTTTTTCGATCTCTCAAAATAAAGAGAAGCAACTAAGTAAAATAAGTTGTGGTGAAACCGCCAGCATCTTTAGTTTGGTTTCTCTTTGACCTTAATGATTCAATATTACCAGATATTATGGAGTATGCAAAATGTGGCAAACGAAAGAGCATCTTATTATCCTTAAATGGAATAAAATTTTTATCAATAATGAATTAAACAAGTAATTTAATCGTAACAAATCAACCAATAAACTGTAAAATGAATTAAACTTGTATTAAAAGTGTATTACAAAAATATTAAAGTTGAATTGAAAGAGAGAATTAATCATGAATAAAAAAACGTAACCGATGAAAGACGTTGATCTATAGAGTGAATTAAACTTGTATCAATAATGAATTAAACAAGTAATTTCATAGTAACAAAATCAACCAATAAACTGCAAAATGAATTAAATTTGCATTAAAAGTGTATTACACATTATTAAAATTGAATTAGAAGAGAGAATTAAGAATGATTGAAAAGTGTAAGTAACGAAAGACAAGACAATGATCTGTAGACTAAATTAAACTTGTATTATTCATGAATAAAACAAGTATTATATGTGTCTTATAAATTATTTTGGATTGTATCACTAAGAACATGAGTGAGTGATGTTTGCAATATGTATTAAAAATGTAGTGTGCATGTATTATAAATGTATTATAAGTGTGTTACCTAAATCATTTGGTTGGTATCACTAAGAAGAGAGTGAAGTTTGCAAGATGTATTTAAATATATTGTTCATGAATAAAATTTATATTAAATGTGTCTTATAATTATTTTGATTTGTATCACTAAGAAAATGAGTGACGGTTGCAATATGTATTTAAAAATGTATTGTGCTTGTCTTATAAATGTATTATTAGTGTGTTACCTAAATTATTCTTGTTGGCATTTGTAAGAAAGGAGTGAAGCATGCAATATGTATTATAAATGTATTATTCAAGAATAAAACATCTATTATATGTGTCTTACAAATTATTTTTGGTTTGTATCACTAAGAACATGAGTGATGTTTGCAATATGTATTATTAATGATCCTTCAATATTTAATGTGGTACAAGAAATGATATGGATCAAAATAAACGTTAACGGATATGTAGCTCTTATAAAAAATTAGCCCCTAAAAGTTATTATGTATGTTGTTTTTAAAGATTGTACTAAATTGGAATGATGTCTGCAATATGCATTAAAAATGTATTATGCATGTATTATAAATTATAATTTGATTGGGATCACTAAAAAGAGAGTGAAGTCTGCAAAATGTATTATAAATATATTGTTAATGAATAAACATATATTATACATGTCTTATAAATTGATTTAAATCAGCATGACCAGATTAGTCATGTTTTTTTTCTACGCATCACCAATAAACTACAAAATGAATTAAACTTGAATTAAATTTGAATTAAAATTGAATTAAAAGAGAAATAAATATGAATGCAAAATGTAGCAACCAAAAGAGCAGTCAATGATTCGTAGACTGAATAAAATTTGTATCAATAATGAATTAGACAAGTAATTAATCGTAACAAATGAAGAAACATAATAAACTGCGAAATGAATTAAACTTGAATTAAAAATGTATTACACACATATTAAAGTTGAATTAGAAGCGAATTAAACATGAATGCAATGTAGCATACGAAAGAGCATTTTGTGATCTGTAAACTGAATAAAACTTGTATCAATAGTGAATTAAACAAGTAATTCAATCGTAACAAATTAACCAATAAACTGAAAAATGAATTAACTTGTATTACACAAATATTAAAGTTGAATTAGAAGAGAGAAGTAAAGCATGAATAAAAAATGTAACGATGAAAGACCAGACAATGATCTATAAAGTGAATTAAACTTATATCAATAATGAATTAAACAAGTAATCTAATAGTAACAAATAATAAACTACAAAATGATTTAAATTTGCATTAAAAGTGTATTACATAGTATTAAAGTTGAATTAGAAGAGAAAATTAAGAATAAATGAAAAACGTAACTAACGAAAGACAAGATAAACTGAATTAAGCTTGTATTATTTTTGAATAAAACATGTACTATATGTGTCTTATAAATTATTTTGGTTTGTATCACTAAGAACACGAGTGATATTTGCAATATGTATTAAAAATGTAATGTGCATGTATTATAAATGTAGTATAAGTGTGTTACCAATTATAAACTTAACCAAACCCTCTCAAAATTGAGATATAAACTACAAACGTCATTTTCAATTATTTATAGTAACAACCTATCCAAACTAATCACAAATTCATAAAATTCAAATAATGAATCTAAAATTTGAAGCTTTATAATGACTATCAATGGTGAACTCTTACCGTTGTAATTTTAGAGATTTGAATTTCTGCTTGAAAACATATTTTTATACAAATTTTTAGTTTTTCTGTTCCTCTTCTCGTCATGTTCTTGAGTAAAGATAGTAAAATATGAGCAAATATTAATTTGAGGATAGTTAATTAAATGAAAATTTTAAAGAAGAAGAAAAATGACGGAGAAAGAGACAAAGAAGAAGAATAAAAAAAAGAAGAGGAGGAAGCGAAGAGAAAAACTGTACAACATTTTCAATTCCAAAAAAATGTTATATTAAGTTAAAAAAGTTATATTGTCATAGATGGTAAATATTTTTTTAATATAGCATATTTATGTGATTTACCCTTAAAAAAATATCTTTATTTTTCGGTTTTAACTTGAAATATTTGATTGTTAACTAAATGATGAAGTGAAGCATTGAAAAGTTGATAATGTATGCTATATATATGTGCAAAAGTCGCAATTAACATTCTTCTACTAAATTTACAGAAGAAATGATTCATAATTTAGTTTTGAATTAGTAATGAATGGGTACTCCGTACTTGTATGTCCAATTATAATTTATGTACATCGAAATTTCAAATGTCAGTATGTAGTTATTATGCATCTTTACTACAACTAACTGCTCTATATGTAGATGTATATCATGAAATTGAAAATGAGTCACTAGCTATTCTAAGAAGTATATATGTTGATTGAATCACTACATAATTTATAGAAAATGCTACTTATTTGATTGTTAAAAGGAGAAGCCTATTAATACAAAGTGCTACTTTCATTCGACAACATTTTCTTGATTTGTATACGTTAAATTTCTGATGTTAGTAACTATTACGTACTCCTTATATCTCAAAATCTTTGTTATGTTTTTCTTAATGAGAGTCAAATTACATGAATTTTGATAATTATTTATCATATATCTTCCATTAACCTTTTATTTATCCACTTTAAACTTTACACATTTCTAAAGAAATAACTATTAATATGAATATTTACTATTTTACTACAATACTCATACTAATTGATGTATTATTTTAGATCTTGAAAAATGATTTAAAGAGTAAATAAGTAATATTGAGGAAAAAATAAGAAAATAAATATTTGTTTTTGCTATTTATTAAAAATAAAAATATAATAAATAAAGAGAAATTATGTTTTTAGCCTAGTTATATGAAAAATATTGCGGCCTCGTTGGCTTCCATTTTAACAAATATATTCACATTAATACCCGAGTAAATTCGATGTTAGTTCAATTTTAATACAGTAATTTAGTCGTCAAATATATATGAGCAACCTGCCTTGTCCACCTAATTGTCTCAACTATATAGAGTAGGCAGGGCATATCAAGAGGAAACTCCATAGCATCAAAGATGGCGTCGTCTACACAGGAACACCACCTCCATCATCTTCCTACTCCTTATGGCACAACTACTGCTCCTCCACCAACTCCATCAGCACACTCTAATCATAATCATAATCATAATCTCCTTTCCACTTCTGAAGCCGCTGATTCTCTCTCTCGTCTTCTCCACCGTATCCCACCCACCCTTTCCCTCTCCTTTCCTGGTCGCCGTCAATCTCCGCCATCAACCACCGTATCTCCTCCTCTCATCTCTCTTTCTGATGCAAAATCAATTCTTCACTCTAACCTCCTTTCAGCTGCAAAACAACACGGTTTCTTCCAGCTCACACAACACTCCATCTCCTCTCACCTCGCTCAATCAGCTGAATCCGAATCTGCATCCATTTTCAATGATGAGAAACAACTCTGCTTCCCCAAGAACTGGCCCTTAGGCTTCGATAACGATGACGACGACGACGACGACGTTGTCTGCGGCCGGTCGCTTTGTCTCGACGAGTCAAGTTCAATGGAGTTGGGGTTTAGTTCTATTCATGAATTTACTTCCCAAATGGAAAAACTAGGGTTGGCGTTGATTGAAGAACTGGCGTGTGCTGTTGGGTTTGAGAACCCGGTAAGAGAAGATCGGACCCGGTTCTGTTCGTTGATGTGGATATCTGAATCCGAGAGCGGTTCAAGTAACATGCCACTTTCACCGGGTCGGGTTTACCCCTATGTAGTTGGGTTAAATTATCAAATTCGTTGCCGGAAGTATTCCATGTTGGCTGATTCGGGTTGGATATCTGTAGCCCCTCAAGTCGACTCGGTTATGGTAACCCTTGGTGATATTGCTCAGGTAACATTTTTAATATGAATTAGATTTTTATTATAACTTTTAAAATACATCATAAGTAATAATTAACCATCTTAATTCATTTAATAATTTGCTAAATAAAATGTATAACAAGAATTGAAGCTCTCTGCCCCAATGCTTTGTCTTACTCGTAAAACATTTTTATTCTTATCTAGGTTATTAGTCATAAAAAATGGATACATGATATTAGATATAACAATAGAATTATTTAATGTTAATTAATGAATTATTATAATATTATTCAATAAAGTTATGATATGATGGGTAGGGATAATAGGGTATTAATATATTGAATTTTTTAAAAATTGAACCTATTAGTATTACACCTATGATATGGATAGAATCAAATATAATGTATAAAAAGTATAAATTATCGAATATCCAAAAACTAAAATAGAGTATCAAGTGGGATATATAGAAAATAAAATTATTATGTAGTACTATTAATTTAGGTAGTGCTTGTAAGGATAAAATATACAAGTATTTGTCTAACTGGTTCGTACATTTTCCATCATTAATCAGAAATGATTTTTCTGCTTTTGTTAATAATGATTTCGAAATTTCCCAACTTTTTTTTCTCCCATTAAAGATGACGAAAACCATTTCCTAAAAATATATTATAAAACACACCCTTAAAGTCACATTTGGTGTGATGATATAGTGGAATAAATTAGAAATAAATTCTAATGTTTTTTAATTTCTTGTTTTATTATTAAGTTCAATTTATGATAAATTATTTCAGGATTAATAATTAATATTGAAATAACTTATTTCTGTCTTGGGTGTAGTAATAATTATGAAATACCTTATTTAGAAATAAAATGACAAAAATATCTCCCTTGCCTTTTTATAATTTACTTCTGATATCTTTTACACTTACACGTATGAATGATATTTCTTTTTAAATAAATAATTTGTATATTCTTAAAAACACTTATGTAATTCAGGTTAATTGGTATCTAAGTTGAGTTATCTCGGGATGTTTGGTCGGGTCAAAATAAATAAACGTTTCCGTGATATAATTAATTAGCAGCCTCAAAAGGACCCACTAAACCTAACATATCTTAGATATTTAGGCCCTTTGATATACATATTTGAAGCTCTAATTCTTGTTTTATTTGACACGATGAATGTACTTACAATATAATAATAATATTAAACCGACAATTAATTGTAAGGTTTGCCGCCTTAATGTCACGTCTTCTGTCTCAACTTGAATTCTTTTGGATACCTACATAGTCCATTTGTTTTCTAATTTGAGCTCTAATTGACAAATCGTATCTGGTTTAAATGATTTTACAAGTAATTATAATTCTATTAGAGAAGAATATGTTAATTTTATCTCATTTTACTCGTAACTATTCCAGAATGAAATAAATATAAATAATTCCTCAAGTTTAAAAATATTTGTCATTAATCGTCTACCTTGGATTTATTGGTAATGCATTAGTTATAATATGACAATGACGGCTTAGAGTAAGGTCACATAGAAAATTCTTATAATTTGAATAAGTAGTAGCTGATTACCTAATTAAATTAAGACTTCTATCGTGTTATAATATAACTTGTTCCATCTGAAAAGCCTCATCTAATCCAACTTCGATAGCAACTTGGATAGGGAAAGAACATTTATTTGTTTATATTCATTCCATTCATTTTTAGAGTAAATGGTCAAATGCCACCCCAATCTATTACCGGATTTTCAACTACACACTTAAATTTACCCCCTGAACTGTTTTAAAATACAATAAATAAACGCTTAATGCTGAGTTGGTTGAGAAAGTGTAATTCACTCTCTTTGAGAGAGTGAAAAGAGAATAAATAGGGTTGCTTTTATGTTTATTTCATATTTTTATTTTATTTTCTTTCTCTTTCTAATTAAATTAAAATAATCTCCCCCACCCCACCCCAACCCAACCGCCCCACACTTCTTCTTCTTCACACTCACCCTACACCTCTTCTTCTTCTTCACACTCACCCTACACCTCTTCTTCTTTTTCACACTTTTGCTTTATTTTTATTTTTCATCACAAATCTCTACAAATTTCTTCAGGAATTCTACATATTAACCGTCTCTTACATAATCAAAGAACCTTTAAACAAATTTAGTTATTACTCCCAAATCAAAGTAATAAAATAAAGAACTCAAAATTCAATTTTTTTACCATAACCCATTTCAAACAAACATAGAATTTTCAATTTCCAACACCTTCACAAGCTCTTCTCTCAAACGTTAATTCTAATTTCACATTCTTGTATTTAAACCACAAATTGGGGTATTTTAGAAATGGGGCATAAAAATTCAATTGGATCATAATTTTTTTCAATTGGATTAATTTCAATGTTTTAATTTGGTTTGTTAATTTCACCAACATTAAGAAAAGAAAGAAATTGAATTCAAAATTTATGGCATGCCCATACACTACTTTGGGTATATCCCTTCATAAGCCCCCAACATGAGTAAAATGTGTAGCAATGAACTTTGAGAGAAATTGTGGGGAATAAGATAAAGATATTGGTCAGAGAAAGTTTTACTCGTCAGAAAAAATTTACCGTCTTTTCTCTTGCCGGAATGTCAATGGATGAGAAGTGAGTTTGATAATGGTGAGTAGGGGTGTTCATGGGTTGGTTTGGGTCGGTTATTGGTCAAAATCAAAACCAAACCAACTTAATCGGTTTTAAAATTATCAAAACCAAACCTAATATAATAAATATTTATCGGTTTGGTTGTTATCAGTTTCGGTTCGATTTGGTTCGGTTATTCGGTTATTAACCATATACATAAAATTAAATGAAATAATTTATTCAAAACGTGAAAATAGTTACAATAATCCATTCAAAATGAAAAAGTAGTTAGAATGATTGACATTATAAAACTTTCGATCATTGAAATTACTAATGAATAAAGCTTCAAAATTCACTAGTTTTGTCCTAGAAGGAAGAGACATTGACATTTTTAATTCCACAAAAAATTGTCATAGACACTCATATACATGAAACCAATAAGATAGAAGTTCTTACCTTGGACATTTTTACTTTCATAAGTAAATTATAAATAAATTTTGATGAATACATATATAAGATTTTTAAAATTGTTTATAAAATAGCATATTTATGTATGTATAATAATAAAATTTATGTGTATTATTTATCGGTTTGGTTCGGTTATTTCTTTGATTTTTTTCAAATAAAACTATAACCAAATCAAATACTATCGATTTAAAAAAAATCTAAAACCAAACCAAACCCTAAATAAAATCGATTCATTTAATCGGTTTGGTTCGATTTTTTGGTTTGAATCGGTTTTTATCCAAACCGTGAACACCCCCAATGGTGATGTTCTTAATGATAATGGAGGGTTTCTAATGGGGCATATAATAATTTTAAAAAAAGTAGGAAAAATAATTCATTTATTATATTTATTAGGCGGCATTGACATGGCGCTAACGTGGTGCTGACGTGGCATGTGCGTGTGTTACACCACAATACACATGAGTGACTATGTCATTTTAGGGTGAAATTTATTTCCTTATAAAATAGTTCAGGGGGGTAATAGGACACTCGTAAAGTATGAGTGTGTAGTTGGAAATCCGACCATAGGTTGGAGGGGTTTTTGACCATTTTCTCTTCATTTTTACTTGTCACTATTTGACTTGACATACTAATTAAGAAAATAATTATTGACATATGTATTTTATCATACTATTCATAATAATTGTTATTTAATATTAGGAAAAAAAAATATTAGGTCTTTAAGAATGATTTGGAGAACAATATTTAATGCTAAGAGTTAAACATAGAAATATATGTTAAAAGTGACAAATAAAAATATGTTGGTAATGATTGTGACATAATTTACATTATTTTGCTATAAACTTAAATGCAGAAAGTAATTGAATTCAAGAAAGAATATATTTTCGGACGTTTAATTAAATAAGAATTGTACCATCAACATTTTCTATAGTAATATTATTTAGTCGTATTTTAAGTGTTATCAAATTGAGATTACTATAGACAGTAATTTTACAAGTTAGCTTATAAACTTGATAATGGGCAGGTATGGAGTAATGGAAAGGTGAAAAAAGTGAGAGGAAGACCAGTACCTATAACTAATGGTGAAATCAACAGCAGTAGTAATAACTCACACTATGTATCAATGACATTGTTAGTTACACTAGCTCATGAAAACACTGTCTCTCCCTTGCTTCCTATCAAATTGCCATCACTTGGCGCGGTGCTCAACAAAGAAGATGACGATGGCCTTGGCGACAATGATTCAACAACTATAGCGGTAGAGGAGGAAAGTCCAATGTTCAATTCATTTTCTTTCGAGGATTATGCATGGAGAGTTTATCACGCACGTCTTAATATTAAGGATCCTCTTGTGAGATATCGTGTTTGATTATTACTACTGTTGTTCTCGGTTTCAGTTTGGATCGGATCGGATCGGAGTTATTACCAATTAGCATGAGAAATGGTAGAAAGTATCAAAGTATGTTGATGATGATATAAGTTGCTCATATAGCGATTTTTTCTGTGCTTTAATTTGTCTGCATCTCAGTACTCTCTTCATTTATTCATTTGTTTTGGGTTTTCGATTTTCTTTTTTGTTCAACTTAAGGCGTGCTGCTGTTTGATTCTCCTTGTAATTTAGAAATGGGAGTGAAATGTTACGTCTGTGAAGAGAAAACAGACTTCAAGTTTCTATATAGGATAAATTATCTATATACACACCTTTTTCTTCCATAATTTTCATTATTTTTTACTAGTTCTAAAATTTTCCAAAATCCCTTATTTTACTCCCAAACCCCCAAATGCTGGATACATAAATCCCAACTCCCAAAACCAACATTTATCCCTTCCTTATTTCACTCCACAAATCTCTCTTTATTTTTAGTCACAAAATCTTGATAGTTATTTTTTAATTCACATTTGAAATTCAAAATCAGTCTCCTTTCTGTAAGTTAAGGATATTTTTAGACAAAAAAAGTTTAAAAAGGATATTTATGAGTCTTTTACCTATTTTTAAAAAATACTCTAAAATTTATAATAAAATAAGTGAACTTCAAATTTTCAACACTAAAACGTAAATTAGAAAAAAAGAAGAAGTAATAGTAGTAGTTATTATTTGGTAATATTTAATATAATATTTGTAAATTTTTCATAATTTGAGTTGGTTATGGACTCTAACAACTAATCATTCATTGAAACTGATTAGGATTCTTGTATTATTATTTAATCTTCTCATTGTCTCATAATAATATTAGTTTAAATTTCACCAAAGTTTCATATAGTCTAATATTTTCCTCTTTTTTCTGGTGTTTTTCATAATTGGATTGTGTTTGTTCATGTATCTAATTGATAACTTAATTCTTATTTATTATTATACATTTATAGATACACTTTATTTCAACTTACATACATCTTTCTTTCACAACCTTATTGTATCAGATACATTATTATAAACTACAAAATGATACAAGATGTAAGTTATACATACCTTTCAAGGCAAACAATACATGACTTATTAATTTAAACGAGATATATAATTAGTAATGTATCATGCACTAATTTTTTATATAGAATTTTTTAGATATGATACGTAAATTCGAATTTATACTAAATGTATCAATTACATAGCAACTATCACACAATAATGTATCGATCTCAAATCTAACATCTTATGGGTAACAATTACTTATTTAATGTATCTAGCATAAATACAATACTTATCAATTTAAACGAGATACATAAATAGTAATGTATCATGCACTATTTTTTTAGATATGATACATAAATTCGAATTTATACTAAATGAATCAATTACATAGTAACTATCACACAATAATATATCGATCTCAAACCTAACATTTTATGGACAACATTTTTGTTAAATTCTTTTCTATGCATGTCATAATATTTCATGTGTACTAAATAAGAAAGGACTGCAACGTGGTCCAGGTCACAACATATTACCATAATTCTATTACATTTTTTTCTTTCAAAAAACACCTATTGGTGGGTGTCGGGGATTATAACAAAAGAGAGAAGGCACGAACAATAAAAAAGGAACGAAAAGAAACAACCGAAAGCTTTTCTAATTTCTTGAATAGAAAATATATTTGCTGAATTACAAGAGAAAAACAGAGCATATAATTACTCTGTATTAACTGACTCCTACTTCTAATATAACTCCTAACTTATAGTATTTTTATTCCACTAAACAAACTCCTAAACTTACTACTAAAGTTCCTAACTCTCAGGCCACTTTCTAAGGTGAACAAACCTCACCTGGATAATTGTTTTGACCTGGTAAATGCAGTAAACAAATAACACAGTAAGTTGCACTAATTTGTTATACTTCTCCTTAGTGCAAGCTCACGATCAACAACTCCCAGAGCATCTCGAAAGTAGGGGCGTACAAAACCGAACCGAAAATCGAATCAAACCGCAAATCGAGTCAAACCGAGAAAAGAAACCCAACTAGTGACTGGTTTGACTTGGTTTGGTATTGAAAAAAAAAACCCGACTATATTTGGGTTGGTTTGGTTTTAACTAAAAAAACCAACCCGAGACCAAACCAACCCGACATTATATATATAATTTTAAAATTTTATTTTATACATAAAAATATTTACTTTGATATAATTTTTGAATATTTCTTATACTTTTTCATTGTTTTAGTATATTATTTCAAGTTTGAAACTTAGAATTCTGAATGGTTCAATAAAGATTATAGTCCACGTTGGTAATTATAATAAAGCTTAAATCAAAATAAATTAATACTAATGCAAAAAGAAAATCAATTCAACACTAAGAATGACAATAATATTGAATATTTGTTCTTTGATTTTACATTGGTTTAAACAATTCAAATACATAATCTAATTTTAATTTCCTTTAATATTTAGTCATGTAACTAATATTTATTAAACTTATTTTAGTATGATTTAGTACTTTTAAATTATGATCATCTTCATTATGACTTGTTAATTTGCAATATTTGTTTTACGCGATTTCATTATTATTATTTTTTTGTTGGATATTTTAGTGTCATTACTCATATCATATTTTGTGTTATTTTCTTAAGAAACACCTTAGATAGTTGTATTTTGGTAGGACTAAAGAAATATTTGAAGTACAAGTAAATTATATGTTTGTATGAATACTTTACCGGAAAAACCCAAAAATCCAAAAAGCCCAAAAAAATCCGAGGTTGAAAAACCCGAGTTTTATTGATTTAATTTGGTTTATAGATTTAAAAATCCGACTCAAATGGTTTGATTTGATATTTGAAAAACCCGAACTAACCCAGTCATGTACACCCCTATTCAAAAGTATTGAAACTTAGACTTCTCCAAAGCTTTAGTGAATATATCAACAACTTGAGTTTTGGTACGGATAATTGTCAGTTCAATCTCTTCACTTAGAACTTTCTCACGAACAAATGATGTTGGATCTAATATGCTTCGTTCAAGCATGAAAAACTTGATTTGACGCGCAAGTTTGATGGCACTTTCGTTGTCACACTTGATTTTCACAGCATAGTCTACTTTGTGGGACATGTCTTTGATCATTCTTTTCAACCAAATACACTCTTGTGCAGCCATGGTTGCTGCAATATATTCAGCTTCGGTGGTAGACAAAGCAACAACATCTTGTTTCTTGCTGCACCAGGAAACCACTGCTGACCCAGTACTAAAACAGTAACCTTAAGTCGAGCGACGATCATTTGAATCACCTGCCCAATTTGCATCAGTAAATCCACTCAATAAAATATTGCACACCTCTTGTACCAAAGTCCATGACAAAGAGATCCATTCACATAACGTGAAATCCTTTTTGTTGCATCTAAATGAGAAGTTGTTGGACTATGCATAAATTGAGAAACAACACCAACTGAATAACATATTTCTGGCCTTGTGATAGTCAAATAGATCAAACTTCCAACTAGTTGATGGAACTTCATCGCATCCTTCAAAGTTTGGCCTTCATCCTTCTTCAACTTGAGATTTGTCTCCATTGGAGTAGCCTTTTCTTTCAACTTCCCCATGCTCTTGAGTTCGCTAAGCCATTTATATGCGATGAAGGTGGAACAAATTTCTCTCCAATCTCCTTTCGCCCGTTCACTCAGTACTCAGTAGCAGCTCCCGTATTCGCGATTCGCGAGGGTTGGGGTGGCACGGAAGATTGGTCCGCTCCGAAAAGCTGGGCCGGGGGGCAGGGAAAAGAGTCGAGTCGATCAGGCTCGACGATCGGGATAAGCAAGACGAAATCAGGATTTGGCCGATTTTTCTAGCTTCTTGCTTGCTACCTTCTACTCTCTATATTTTCTACTGGGCTCTCTTGAGTTCTGTTGGGGCTTTCTCGAAAGCAGAGAAGTTTCCATATTTATACCTTTTCTTGTTGGAGGGTAAACAAAGCAAAAGCCCATCTGGCCGATCTCAAGCTGGATGAGAAGGCAAACCAACCCTCCGAAGAAGGAAACTATGATTAATTTCCCAAACAAAGCAGCCTTCAGCAGGAGCTGCACTAATTCACTGGCTTTCTAATCATAATGTTATTACGGTAAGAATAATAATCATAAACCAAGCTGAATGGTTTGATTTTTCAACGAAAGATGGGTTTGAAAACAGGTACCAAATTGTCTTGATAAGGTGGGGATGGTTCTGCCCCTTTCCCCAGGAAATTGCTTTGATTGACCGAGATCTCGTGTTTGAAACGCTATAAGAGACTCTCTGCATAACCTTTTTGAGACACAAAATAGCCTTGATCTAATTTTAGCACTTCCAAACCAAGAAAACATCCAATCTGCCCCAAATTTTTCATCTCAAAACGAACAGATAGGTCATTCCTTAAATTAGAAATTTCTAATTCATTATCTCCATTTATCATCATATCATCAACATATAATAGTGTCAGGAGATGCACACCTGATTCTAATTTCATAAATAAACTAGAATCTGAATCAGAAACTCTAAAACCACAAAAGATTAGGTATTGAGCAACTGTACCATACCAAGCTCGTGGTGCTTGCTTGAGGCCATATAGGGCTTTCTTCAAATGGCAAACATGAGTTGGAAATTGCTTGGAGACAAAACCGTGAGGTTGCTCCATAAATACTTCTCAATCCAACTCTCCATAAAGAAATGCATTTTTACATCGAGCTGCCACATATTCCAACCTTTGAAAGCAACTAGAGAAAGAAGTGACCTTATTGTCACCATCTTCGCCATTGGACTAAACGACTCCTCATAATCTAATCCATTGTTTTGAGAGAACCCACAAGCAACTAGACGAGCTTTAAACCTGTCAATGGTACCATCTTAGTTTTTCCTCAAGCGAAATATCCATTTGCAAGTAACTCGATTGCATTTTTCTGGTTTGGGTACCAATTCCCAAGTTTCATTCTTGTCTAAAGCATCAATTTCTTCTTGCATTTCTCTTTCCCAATCTGGACAACCATTTGCTTCTTCATAACTTAATGGTTCTTCTGTAGTTGATGCTCATGTAAAGAAACACGAGGTCACAAAATAATTTTTAAGTTTTACCTCATAATCCTTGAGGTAGTCCGACTGCTTTTTCTCCCTTGTTGACCTTCTAGTTGCTTAATGTTCACCATCTCCTTCTGTTGAAATGTTCTGACTTGGAGATACACTTTCTGCCTCTTCATTACTAGGTGTTGGTCCATTTACTTTAGGAA